CTTTAAACAAGTTGCAGGTAAATTTTAGGTCAGGTTTGATATTTTAACCATGTATCGACCTTTGTTCTGTTTTAATATCACTTGAAAAACAATTCATTATAATTGAACTGCTATCACTTCTCCTGGTTTGACTCTTGTTTACAAGGCCCATGGTTCTTGAATAAAATGGTTGACTGAATGGAAATGAAAAAACATATAGGTAGTGTTGATAACTAATTTAGCATTTAACACTGCATTATTCAATTTTCCATTCCACTACAGTGTTTTTCAAGGATTCTCTACTGCACTACTTAATTTCCGTAATGATCTGTTTTCTGTTTCCATAGCAGAATATGACGACACAACTGCAAAATTCAAACATACTATGATTCATTTACCTGAGTCACTTGCAGTGGCAGGATAAAATTTTTGCATTGCAATATAAAAAGATTTTGTTAGGTCATTTACAATCTGTTTTTGTTGTTTTCAAGGCTTCATGATGTCTGATAGGTCAAGCTTGATAAAGACAATCTACGGTTATGGCTATCAAATACACTCGAGTCTAAGAATTTATTCATTCTTTTAAACTGGAAATGCCCATCAATACTAGAAAGAGTGATGACATTGGACACTATTTTCTTGAAAACCTGTTTTAAGAAAAGGGTTTTAAATATTTCAACCAACAGTAACACTAATTTTTCTGTCAATGATGACAGTTTTCTTATAAGGAAACAACTTATCTTACCATTACAATTACTATAAAATGGCTATGGAAGATGTGCAGATGGCATAATGGCTACTAAGTTCAAATTTTAGCTTATACTGCTCAGTTCACTTCACACTAATGCCCTTAAGGCATGAATTCCTCTATTCTCTTCCTAGTTATGAGTAAATAGTAGGGTAGATTAGGTTATTTAGTCTTGATAGAGCAACCAGGTTCTAAAAATCATGGTAACAATAATGGGGAAACTACTCGGTCATGGCAATTCATAGATACGAAAGAAAAGAAAGATGTGGAGAGCTGTGATTTTTCTGTGTCCTAGTGAGAGATAGGATTCAACCTTTAACACACTGAATTATTCACTACTTTCCTTTCCACTGCATTGTTTTTTAAGGCTCCTCTACTGTACGACTTAATTTCAGTTATGGTCATTTTCTGTTGCCATAGCAGGATATGACAACACATCATCATTCTATTATCTGAGTTACTTTCAGTGACAGGATAAAATTTTTTTTGTTTATAAACAAAATCACCTTCAGGATGTTAAAGGTTAAGATAATCTCTACTGTTCCTGTAACAGATCCACATTCAATAGGCAGTTAAAATTTAACCTAATTACAATAAATAATAGATAAAGCAGTCACAACAGTTCAGTTATGGTGACCTGATTGTTCAGTGAGGACTGTGGTGTATTTTTTCCAAAATATGATGAAATTGCATCACTATTTTAGTCGGGCTTATTCTATTTAGTTAACTGACTTATTAAAGTCGTTGTCTACCATAGCAGACATTGACTTTTTAAATGATAGTCAAGCCTTATTGCCAAGGCAAAATTTAATTTTTAATTTCAGAAGTTCAAAAGATATTATTGTAGTGGCTTTTCCCAAGGTAACAGGAGTTACCTGGCGGCACCCATCTCCTCTCCAAGTAACATGCAGCAGGTTTTATTGCTTTACCTGTTACCAACAGCAAAGAGTAATCCTTAACTTGACCTATTGGAAGAAATGGAACCAGTCTGTTTTACATTTTCCTCACCAATTTTGGAAGAAGTTGGTTGCCAACCAAGGCTAAAGAGCCTACTCTACGATTTTACATCTAGCATATGGTGTTATTTACTTTTAAATGGGTTTAGGAATGGATTCATGTTTTTTTTTTTTTTTTTTTTTTTAAGGGTTATTAATATGAAGTGAATATTGCCTCAACTAATGTCTTGAAATGGTGTACCAATTCCATTATCTATGTAATATGTACTGCTAGCATTATACAAAATGGTACATCCTGGGTATGATGATAAACTACATCCGCGTCCTGGGTAAGATGGTAAACTACGTCCAAGAGCAAGGTCTCTGATAAAAGGTTTTGAGGAGCGTGGAACCACCTCTTAATTGCTGGTGTTCCCAAGTCCACCCTGACCTGGGCAAATAGTTAACCCTGAAAAAAAAGCATTATAAAAGTGTAAAAATTAGGTTTTAATACCAGAAATACTTTGAAAAAAAATTATTACCAGAAATAAATTTTTGAAGAAAAAAAATAACTATTACCAGCAATATATTTTTGAAAAAAAAAAAAAAAAAATATATAAATTACCAGTAATACATGTGATTGTACTCAGAAATATGAGTAATTGAAAAATGGTATATATATATATATATATATATATATACACACCTTTTTTACCAAACTATCGGTATGAATCTATTTAAAAATTTTGTTGGCATTAAATGACCCACTGAGGTTTTGATATGCTATAAAACAAAACAACCAACCAAAATGGTGCTGGGAGGGGGTAAACTTAATTTGATTGGCTTGCAATTTACCAGTACACAGTCCTGGTGGAAGATATTGATTCAAATGGAACAGGTGACTAAATGGAATTGGATCAATCCAACCAGATTCAACAAGGTGTCTATTTTGAAGGTCTTCAGATTTCATCCAAATTTTGACCATTTCTTATTCATCTGAGGAGTTGATCTGGACGATACCTCATTTTAAACCGGTTTTGATGAATGTTAACAGATGGTGAAAATATAGACTGAATCTGAAGACCTTCAGGACAGACCCTTGTTGAATCTGGCTGGAATGACCAAATTGATAGACACCTGAATATTGCTGATAGTTATGATGGGAAGAATGAATAAAAAAAAAAAAATAGCAAATAATTTAATTAATATTAATCATCAGAGGGACCTCTCACTGCCTTCCGTCAGCATGGCTGATGCTAGCCTCCAGGAAAGCGACTTGTTGTGTCTTCTTGAGCTAACGTTCTCAGCTGACATGAAGTGGAAAGACTTGAATCCATTGCTAGGTCACTTGCTAAGAAAATCAGTTCTCTGTGTTGCATAAGACAATTTTTCTCTCCAGAACCTATCTTACATATCTGTAAATCTACCATTTGTCCATGCTTAGAATATTGCTGCCACATATGGTCTGGTGCCTCTGTTATTTGAATCCGCAATATTATTGGTCCTGACCTGGCATCTCAGCTCCAGTCACTTTCCCACTGCTATAAGTTTTCTCTTCTGTGTCTTTTCTATAAATACATTCATGGTAATTGTTCAGATGAGCTTCTCGCTATGTTACCTAGACTTTTTGTATTTAAACATAGTACTAGACTGGTGTAGCCTTAAGTCCTATGCTAACAATTTCTTTTTTTTTTCATTCTTCTCTTTTGTGGAAGTCCCTTCTGCTGCCATGCTTTCTAGTCAACTTTAATCTGCAGGAATTTAAATGCAATGTCAATCACTATCTGGTGTCTTTCTGGTTACTCTTTCTTCTTTCTTATTAATGTTTCTGTTCACAATTCCTCCACACTGTAACTTATGTCTTAGTGGCTTTATTGCCTTGCATGGAGTGATATTGATTTAAAAATTTTTTTTTTTTTAAAATAACCTCTCCTATAATTGTTTTAGATCCATCTTCAATAAGAAATTATATTCAACTTTATCTATCTATTAAATTCTGTGATATCTGTCTGTCCCACCCTCTAAAATAACCATACATTGACCAATCAAAACCAGATTTTTGGGAGAAGTTCAAACATGTAAGGAGGTACAAAGTACAGTTGGTTTTACTAGGGTATTTAAAAACTGAAGTTGGGATTTCGCAGAAGAATCAGCTTATTCAGATTTCATTGACTGATTTCTAAAGTTGATTGAAATGTAGAGTTTGTAAATCTCTGCAAAAAAATGTTAGTGAGAGCTTCAACAATATTAAATAATGAGAGGATTTGAACAGGATTCAGCATGTTGCAAAAAAAGAACGCAAGTTACAAATAACACTAGATCAAGTTGTAATAGTTCACTTATGGTGTACCAATTGTTCTGTCAGGTCTGAGGTGTACTTGGCAAAATATTGTGATGGATTCCATCACTATTTTATTCAATTAGGAAGAATTCCATTGAGCCAACTATTTTATTCAAGTCAATGTTGACTTCCAGGACTGTGTGCCTTGTAAACAGGAACCAAACCTGAAGTAGTTACAATATTTCAATATTGGGGGTCCAATTGTTTTATGTCTTAGGTGTATTTGGCAAAATATTGTGATAGGATTGCATCATTTTGTGTATTAGCCTTATTCTGTTCAGTCAACAATTTTAATTAGTCATTTTCGACCTCTAGGATTGTGTGCCAAGTAAACAGTAGTCAAGTAAAAGTATTTTCTTTACTTAAACAATTTAAGTTCACTGTATTGCCTGTCATTGTCAATGCACTTAATTCAGCGGTGATAGTTAATTATATAAGTGAACATTATACAGTGAAAATTTCTGATCAAAATTAGCTCAGAACTGTGTCAGACTATGGATTTATAATGGACTCACTCTTAAAAGAAGAATTTTTTTTTTCTTTTTTGTCATGAGAAAAATGCCACTTTGTTTATTTTCTTAAATAGAGTTTCGGGTTATTGTCCTCAACAACACTAGTAAGTTTTTTTGTTAACATTTAGTGAACTGGTAAATGCAAGTAAGTACCAGTCAAGTGTTTCCAGAGGTTCAAAATTACCGAAGCAGAACCTCTTGAATAATTCTAGTTTAATTTTACTTTATTAATTATGCTTTATTATTATTATTATTATTATTATTATTTTTATTGACCCCCACAGCCACTTCAAAATGATAAAGAACCTCTTTATGGCACTGAAGAGAGATAATAGATGAGTGCTTATCTCTCAAGCAGCTGTTTATTCCACCTCCTATCTACCAAAGAAAAAAAAAAACAAACTTCCATGAACCTTAAAAAATTCCTAGCTAGGTTGGCAATGTATTCTAAGAAAAAAAAGAAGTCTCCCCAACCACAATTTCCCATGGGATATAATCTGTTTATTTATAAGGGTAGGAGGTTGACTGAAGAAAAGGGAGCCCTAAGGAGGTAGCTAGATTTTAAAAAGGAAAAAAAAACTTCTTTTTCCCTAGAATTGTACAGGGCTTTGTTATTATTATGATGGGGGGGGGAAGAAATTCAAATTGAATTCTAATCTCAGATAGCTCTGATAGGAAAGAGATGAGGTTAGAGAAACAGAAGTGGGGGGGGTGTCTAAGGGGGTGAATAAGATTTTGGAAAACTTACTGCCCTTTATGCTGATTTTGAAAACTTTTAATCAAATAATAATGAATAAGGTGTTCACCAAGAGTGCAAGAATATTAAGATGGAATAAAACTACTAATAAAATAATAGTAATAATGAAGAGTGTATAGAGCCAGAGTGTTGGGACAAAAAGCAACAATAATAAGATGTAATAAAACTAGTAATAAAATAATAAGTAATAATGAAAAGTGTAAGAGCCAGAATGTTTGGGATAAAAATACAATAATAATACTAGTAATAAAATAATGGAATAAAACTAGTAATAAAATAATAGTAATAATGTAATAAAATAATAGTATAGAGCCAGAATATTTGGGACTAATAAAATAATAAAAAGCTATAGAGCCAAGTGTTGGGACAAAAAGCAATAAAAATAATAAAACTAGTAATAAAAATAATAGGAATAATGAAGAACCCGATGTTGGGACAATAGAGCCTTTGATAGATAAAACTAGTAATAAAATAATAGTAATAATGGGACAAAAAGGATAAAAACAATAATACTGGAATAAAACTAGTAATAAAAAATAATAGTAATAATGAAAGTGTAATATAGAGCCAGAATGTTGGGATAAAAAGCAACAATAATAATGTAATAAACTAGTAATAAAATAAAACTAGTGTATAATGTTAAAATAATGGAATAAAACTAGTAATAATGAAAATAATAACATATAGAGCCAAGAGTGTTGGGATAAAAAGCAACAATAATACAATGGAATAAAACTAGTAATAAAATAATAGTAATAATGAAGAAGTGTATAGCCGGAATATTTGGGACCAGAATGTTGGGATAAAAAAGCAATAATAAATACAATGGAATAAAACTAGTAATAAAATAATAGTAATAAATATATAGAAGAATATTTATGCAACAATATAGAGCCAGAATGTTGGGATAAAAAGCAACAATAATACAATGTAATAAAACTAGTAATAAAATAATAGTAATAATGAAGGTGTATAGAGCCAGAATATTTGGGACAAAAAAGCAACAATAATAAATAAATAATAAAACTAGTAATAAAAAATAAATAGTAATAATGAGTATATAGAACCAGAATGTTGGGAAAAAAGCAATAATAATACAATGAAAATAACTAGTAATAAAATAATAGTAATAATGAAGAGTGTATAAACCAGAATTTGGGATAAAAACTTAACAATAAAGATGTAATAAAACTAGTAATAAAATAATAGTAATAATGAAAAATTATAGGCAAGAATGTTGGGACAAAAAGCAACAAAAAATAAAACTAGTAATAAAAAATATAATAAAATATATAGAAACCAGAGTGTTTGGGATAAAAGCAACAATAATAAGATGTAATAAAACTAGTAATAAAATAATGCGTAATAATGAAAAGGTGTACCCAGAATGTTGGGACAAAAAAGCAACAATAATACAATGGAATAAAAACTAGTAATAAAATAATAGTAATAATTTAGAGCCAGAGTGTTGGGATAAAAGCAACAATAATAAAGATGTAATAAAACTAGTAATAAAATAATAGTAATAATGAAAGAAGTGTATAGAGCCAGAATGTTGGGACAAAAAGCAACAATAATACAATGGAATAAAACTAGTAATAAAATAAAATAATAGTAATAATAAAAGCAACAATAATAAGATGTAATAAAACTGTAAAAAATAATAATAATATAGAGCCAGAGTGTTGGGATAAAAGCAACAATAATAAGATGTAATAAAACTAGTAATAAAATAATAGTAATAATGAAAAGTGTATGAAACCAGAATATTTGGGATAAAATAGTAATAAAAAATAGTAATAATGAGTGAACCAAGTAAAGCCAGAGTTTGGGATAAAACAACAATAATAAGGATGTAATAAAACTATTAATAAAATAATAGTAATATTGAAAATTATGGAAAGCCAGAAATTTGGGACAAAAAAGCAACAATAATACAATGGAATAAAAAAATAAAAATAGTAATAATGAAAAAATATTTGGGACAAAAAGCAACAATAATAAGATGGAATAAAACTATTAAAATAATAAATGAAAAATTAATTATAGAGCCAGAGTGTTGGGATAAAAAAGCAACAATAATAAGATGTAATAAAACTAGTAATAAAATAATAATAATAATGAAAGTGTAAGAAAGCCAGAATGTTGGGACAAAAACAACAATAATACAATGGAATAAAACTAGTAATAAAAATAATTTAATAAAGAGGATAGGCAAGTATTTGGGATAAAAAGCAACAATAATAAGATGTAATAAAACTAGTAATAAAAAATAATAGTAATAATGAAGAGTATATAGAGCCAGAATATTTGGGATAGCCAACAATAATACAATGGAATAAAACTAGTAATAAAATAATAGTAATAATGAAATGTATAGAGAATGTTGGGAAAACTAGATTTGGGACAAAAGCAAAATAATACAATGGAATAAAACTAGTAATAAAATAATAGTAATAATGAAAGTATATAGCGCCAGAGTGTTGGGATAAAAGCAACAATAATAAAAGATGTAATAAAACTAGTAATAAAATAATAGTAATAATGAAGAGTGTTGGGATAAAAAGCAACAATAATAAGATGTAATAAAACTAGTAATAAAATAATAGTAATAATGAAGAGTGTATAGAGCCAGAATGTTGGGACAAAAAGCAACAATAATACAATGGAATAAAACTAGTAATAAAATAATAGTAATAATAATAATAAAAGAAATAAGATGTAATAAAATAGTAATAAATAATAAGCCAAGAGTGTATAGAGCCAGAATGTTGGGACAAAAACAATGGAATAAAAACTAATAATGAAAATAAAGATAATGAAAAGTGGAATAGTGTTGGGAAACAACAATAATAAGAAATAAATAGTAATAAAATGAAAATGAATATATATTGAGCCAGAGTGTTGGGAAAAAAAGCAACAATAATAAGATGTAATAAAACTAGTTATAAAATAATAGTAATAATGAAAAGTGTATAGAGCCAGAATGTTTGGACAAAAAGCAACAATAATAAGATGGAATAAAACTAGTAATAAAATAATAGTAATAATGAAGAGTGTATAGAGCCAGAGTGTTGGGATAAAAAGCAACAATAATAAGATGGAATAAAACTAAAACTCATTCTTTTCAATCCTCGATGTATATTTGTGTATAATTTTGTTTATTATACCTTTATTTTAACAGACTCAATTTAAGTGAGTTAATTATGTTAAGAATAATAATGACAATTAAAAATTAAGGTTCGGTTTTATTTATTTATTTATTTTTTTATTTTATTTTATTTTATTTTTTTTTTGATGCTGTGAATTCAGATGATTATCTTATCTGGTACAACTTGGGAATCTATTGATTGGACAAACAGGTTGAACTATTTGATGAAATTTTTTTTTCCGTAATTTCCACTAACACCTCGTACATGTCTGTTTTACATCCTGGTCAAGACAGAATTATCATTGTGTATTAAATTACAAGTTTGTCATTGCAGATCTAAATTTCTTGTCCAGGTGGAAAAGGGTGTTGGTAGCCATTGTTCTTTAGTATAATCAGTAGAATCTTTATCCACAACCTTGGCTTCAACTGGGTTGAAAGCTAAGTCAATCTTTCACACCTGTCTACTGAGAGAGAAAGAAAAAGATCTCTGTACGAGATACACACCTTCCAAAGTTTAGCAGCTGGTGATATTAAGAAAGAACAGTGAGATAATGGATGATAAAGTGATACACTATTTTGTTTACCGCTGAGAGATGAATGAAATTTTATCTTTGTCCTTGGATATTTCTGCTTTGTTTGTGTTCGTTCAGGTCAGGTTGGGCCATGATGATTGGATTTTCCACTCCCCGACCATGGGAGCTTAAGTTATTTTTAAAGTGATTCTTGTTTTTTTTTTTTTTTTTTTTTTTTTTTTTTTTTTTGTTTTGTTTCAACTGTTCTGCCTGCTTTTACTTGAAAATCATCTTTACATTTACATAGATAAGTAGTACATGTATACAATTTAAATAACTAAGAAATATCACATTCTTTCTCTCTCACTTTCTCTGACTCTCTCACTTTCTCTCTCACTTTCTCTGACTCTCTCTCTCATTCTCTGTCTCTCATTCTCTCTCTGTCTCTCTCTCTCAAAACGTATTTCTACAACAGGTATCCATTAAAAATAATGTTTGAAGTAATATATATATATATATATATATATATACACACACACACACACACACAGTGCAACGGATGAATTGTTTAACTTGAGCAAAATTGAAGATAACACTGGCATCTCATTTTAACAGGCATATTTACCAAAATTATACAAAAATATCTTGAAATACTAAAGAGTAAATTTATTCAATAAAGTCGCCATTGGCTTCAACCAAGGCCTTCAAACGACTTTGGAATTTCCAGCAACTCTTTTGAATGGTCGCCTTGTTTAAGTTGGCGAATGCTTCCATAATCTTTATCTTCAGTTCATCTTTAGTGTTGCAAGAAGTTTTGTTGGTCTCTCACTCAACTGTACCCCACACATAATAGTCAAGGGGGGGGGTTGCAGTCTGAGGAGTTAGGTGGCCAGAAATAAGGGGTGATGTGGTGGCAGAAATTGTCTGACAGCCATGACTGGGTTCTCCTGTTTGCTTGGCATGGTGCAGAGTCCTGTTGCCAGGATCTACTAGCAACCACCCTCTTGACCCAGGGCAGTACTACCCCTTCAAGGAACTTGATTTAGGCCTCCGTGTTAAGTCTAA